GTCTGGCTGTTTGTCTATCCATCCATCTGGCTCAGCGAGACCTCTCTGTGCCCAGTCTCCGGGTCTCAAACTTGGGGAGAAGGGAGGGAGAAGGTGGGGTGCCAGGGACAGTGTCAGGCTCCATCCTGCACCCCCTCCTTATAAGGCAGGACTGGGCAGAGCCCCCTCCCTCAGCTTTCCAGCTCCAGAAGAGATGGCTCCCTCACATTGTCTGTCTGTCCTTGCAGGAGGGGACCCTGGGCTGCCCAGGACACCTGTGCCCGGCTGGAAGACTCCCACCTCCAGCACCCAGCGTTGGAGCTGGCGACCCCAGAGCGAGAGCCTGACACAAGGAATAGCATCGCTCCCCAGGGACACCCAGCCCTGCATCCCCCTCCCTGGCATCGGGGCACAGGCGTGATTTGCTGGATTTTACCTTTCTGGGACATCCAAGGGACTTTTCCTCTTCCTCCTCCCACTCTATCGCAGCAGGCAGGTGAAGCCCTGCCCGACCAGGCAACATTCGCCTCCTCTGCTCGCCCCATGGCCACCCCACATCTCCCCACAACCACTGGCTGAGCTCCTTCTGCAACATTCCTGACTCCGCATGGTCCATCCCGACCTTGCTTCCCGCTCTGAACCAGAGCCCCCCGACCTCGCAGGGAGGCGAGCGTGCGGCTGGGACTTCCTTGGAGGCAGGGGAACGTTAAGATGTTGAAAGCTCCCCAGCCGAGAGGGGCTGCGTGGACGCCAGGCCACCCGGCTAGGGGGGAGCAGGATGGACAGATCCGTTGGAGCCGGGAACCACGGCCGGTAGGGAAGGATGGACTCCCGGACCTGCCAGGAGAGGCAGCCCAGTGACCACCCCAGCAGCAGCAGCAGTAATTGTAGCAGCGGCAAGAGTAATTGTGAAAGGGAAAGGATCCGGAGTCGGATGAAAATGGTGATCGGGCAACTGGAAGGCATCTTACAGGAGCTCAAGGAGGTGGCCAAGGAGCTCCGGGAGGTAGGAAAACCCCAGGGTGCCATTGCATCCTTGCGTGGGTCACGGTAGCTTCTGTCCCTAAATGTGGGTGCCCTGTCCCCGTCCCATGCCTGTCCCTTGCTTCCGGGCTGGGGGGAGCAGAGGCAGCTCAGCACATGCAACCCATCAGCCCCAGGAGGGACCTGGGGTGGCACAACCCAGCTGATTTCCAAGAGGATTTTCTAAAAGAGGGAAGAGAAAAAAATAAGACACTGTTTGCAAAATTGCTCTTGACCTTGACACCAGGGTTTGCTTGGGGTCAGGGCCCCCAGCTGAGGCACTGGCCCTGCAGGTGCTGGTGGTGGGAGAAGCACGCTGGGGGAGCCCGTGCCGTTGGCAGTGTGCCAGTCAGCTCTGCTCTGCCTTGGGAGGGGGTTGAGGAATGTTTTCCAAACCAGGGAGGTGGATGGAGAGGGGATGGTGAGTCCCGCTGGCATTGCAGAGACCAGTGAAAATATGGCATTAGCTCTGGGTGTGATGAAGGGGGGGAGGCCCATGGGGTGAGCAGGGGGCCAAAGCAACCGGCTGTCTCATAGCCTGACTGTTAGGGTCCATTCCTTATGCAAAAAAAGGAAAAATGTATGTATATACACATACAAATTGTCATGGGAGTTTCCTCCCAGTGCGGAGCCACAACAGAGTCAGTTTGGTGGGGAATTTAATATTTCTGTGGCTCAAGTGTTTGGGCCACACATCTTCAGGGTGGAGGGGAAGGAGCTGGATGGGGCTGGTAATTTAGGACATCTCTGCAGGTGATGGGGAAAGGGGTGGATGGAACGTGTGTGGTAGTCGTGAGTGCAGCATGGCATTTTGCTTTTGCAATAGGGCAGGTGGGCATTTGCATCCTTTCTGTGGCCTGAACCAAGCATGGGATTATCTCCAGAGATGTCTGAAACCTCGTCTCCCCACAGGGAGGGCAGAAGTTGGTGGAGGTTTTGCCATGAGGCCACCATGAAGAAGCCCCACGTGGGTTGGTGACATTTGGGTGCACTGAGAGAGTGTTGATGCAGATGCACCAACGTCATCTTCAGTGCAGGCCTGGCCATGGTCAAGGAGATATTTTCCAGCCTGAAGCATTCCCTGGGATGCAGTGTCCCCTTTGGGATGGCTCCACTTGGTCCAGGAGATGTTAGGGAGGCTGTGCTGTCAGGAAAGACTGCACCAGGAGGTTGCCATGACCCATCATGCCACCCCACTGTGTCCCCACAAGGGCTCACCCTGGCCATGGCGTCCCTAGAGATTTTTCTTTCTCATGGCTTTGCCAGTCCTTCCTGCAGCAGAAAGCAAACTTGGCCACCCAAAGCAAAAAACCCCCTGATTCCTGCAATGCCAACAGGGGAACCCAAAACCCTTTTGACAAACCTCTGATGGATTAAAAATAGTCATAATAGTAATAATCAGGAAGCACAGCTATTTTCCATTTAGCTCAAGCTCACTTCATGCTCCTCCAGGAGCTTAAAGAGGCCTTTAAAGTGAGGATGATGGCAATTTGCCCCTTTTATTGAGTCCATGGATTTAAGGCCAGGTGGGACCACCACAATCATCCCTCTGCTGAGGATTCAGAGGGATAAGGAGGACCAGGATGGGACAAATCTCTGACTGTTTCACAGCTTCAGGTGGCTTCACAAGGTCCCCATCCAGCTGGACCAGAAGGACCTTGAGCAGCATCCTTGGTAGGCTGCTTAAGTCAGGTTGTACCAACATATCTCAGAGAAGAGAAGGCGGCCTGAGGACACAGGGGAGGGGTAAAAGGCCCTCAGCATTCCCTGGGGACACATTCTGGAAAACAGACTCGAAGGAAGAGTAACACTGGAGGGTGGAAAAGCTGTTCTGGATGCAGCAAATCCCTGTTGTTTGAGGAGCAGAGGGTGGCCAGAGGACACCCATCCTCTGCCCCTCACCCTGAGGATACCTTGCTCTTGTGCCAGGGAGGGGTTCCGTGCCCCATGAGATTGCTTCTGCAGAGGGTGCTGGGAAGCACTGAGGCCTGGAGATGATTTTTTTCCATGGAGCTGACACATCCTTGGACACCAGCGACCTCCCAGGCTGCGTCCCATACCTGCCCCAGAAGAGCCCCTCACATCATGGGACAACCTGGCCAGGTCAGCATAGAGCTAGCCACGAGGTCCCCCCACGAGGTGGGTCCTAAACTTCAACCCTTCTCTACAACTCCTACAACATGCCCCTGTAACTTTGCAGTAATTTATACAAACCAGCATAAAACTCGGTACAAGAGCAGATACCAGAACTTAAACACTGGCTAAACTGGGCTCCAGTGACTCTGAGGAAACAGGTTTGTTTTTTCCCCAAGCAAAGCAGATGTTGGGGATTAGAGGCTTTGGAAATTCAACCCCTAGTTTTCTGGGCCGCTCAGAGCAAGCTCAATGGGAGCATGTTACATGGAAATCTCTTTCAAGCCCACCCAGAAAAGCAGGTGGTAGACACCAGGCTGACGAATAGTAAGCTCTTAGATACTGGTAAAAGAGAAGCAGTAAAATAAAAATAAACTGTTGTGGTTGTCTACCTTGCACATAGTGATGCTCTTCCTCAGCTGGAGGTGAGGGCCAGGACATGGGGACAAGGCTGGGGACAGGAAACCCTGCAGCCCCAGGCAGGGACTGATGGACCCAAGCCTAAATGGTGTCCTGGGTAGGGGTCCCAGGAGGGACTGCTCAGGGTCATTAAAGCCCATTAGCACCTGCAGGGCCCTCGTACTTGTGATATTGGTGTATTCTTCAATGGAGATGCCATGGGGACTTCAGAAATGTCCATTCCTGTGGCCATCTCCTCTGCTCAGGGCTTTGCCGGTGGGTTGGGGCACAGGGCTGGACGTACTTGGTGAGGGCAGTGGTGGAATCAGTCCTACTGCACCAGAGGCACCTATGGAGCTGGAAACCTTCACTGGGTGATGCTGGACCTGCTCCTTCCAGGTTCTCCTTGCAAGGTCTGGAAGAAGCAGCCAGGTCATAACCACCTTTCAAAAGTAACACCCAAAGTCATCAAACCCCTGTGTGGACATAAAGGCTTTCACCTGGAAGTGATTCCTGCTCTAAAACCACTTGCCAGCTCCAGGTACAGCTGGTTCTGGTTCACATAAGGCTCTTCTCCCAGGTTGTCCCATCTTCAGCAGAGATTTTGAGTTCTGGACTCAGCTGGGATTGTGGGGTGCTGTAGGGGGATGCTCCAGTGGGGGACCCCAGGGCAGCCCCGCTCCACTGGTCCATCTGTGGGGACAAGAAGGGACAGACCCTGGTTCAGGCACCATCCCCGGTGCCCGGGAACAGTTCCCACCTGAAGGCTGTCATTCCAGATGTCCGTTTGATTCAAGATGCTATTTTACCAGTTTCTCCGCTCCCACTCTCCCTCCCCCCCCCTTTCCCTTTTGTGTATATAATTATTCCCCAGCACTCCAAGACAGGGCTGTATTATGTGCGGGGAAAATGATTATTAAAATCTTTGATTGAAATCGCACACTGGAAGTAGAAATCAGGCAGGAGACAGGCGGGGAAGGCGCTTCCGCCGAGCGCTTGCCACACTGCCTGCCCTCCCACACGCCTCCTGCCAGCCCCAGCCTTTTCCTGCGGGAATAAGGGTAATGCCACTGGGAAGAAAATACTCCAGGAGGCCCCAGCCATCTTCACTGCAAGGCTGAGCTTCTTCCCAGCCTTGGGGACCCCTTCGGTTAGTGCTGGGGGTCAGAAACCATCTGTGGGGTATATTCAGAGGTGGGAAATAAAAAGAAACATTTGTGCAAGTCTCCTTATGTGCAATCCCCCCAAAATCTCATGGGAAGGGTCCTATCACCCCTGCACCCCCTGACATGGGAGCAGTGGACTCCCACCACACCAGGAAGCAGCACCAAGGGGGCCCCTCCAAACCTCTGATAGGAGGAAAATCCTCCCTGCAACCCCTTATGATAATAAATACTTTAATAATGTTGTAATCAATAGGTGATTAGCTGGGAACGCTTGGGAAAGTTCACGGTGAGAAGGCGGCTTATTATTCTAATAATAACATGTTTTAGAGATCTGCACAATGATTTTGAACTATTTAGCAGTTGATGATCTAGCAAATGATCCCAAGATCCACAGCACACTCATTTATAAGCATCAGCTCGGGGAAGAGAGGCCCCTGTAACCCAGCTTCTCTTTGCGAGCTCCAATTAATCATTTATTCCTTATTAAATATTTACTCACCTTGCCTGCGCCTGGAAGTGGTTTAGGAGATGCAGGAAGGTCCCTGCTCCAGGGGTGTTTGGCTGTGGGGTCACAGGAGCTCTGGCAGAGCCTTTGGGATAGCTCTTTTCCTCCGTGGAGGGAGGAATTGGTGTTCAAGACAGCGGTGTCAAATGCCTCTGGGATTATTTGATGTTTTGGGAATAGGGTTGGGAATTTTTTGCATGGGCCACGCATTCCTGTTGCACATGTGCCCTGGGTATCAGCCAGCATCAAGGCAGGGTGCAAGGCCAGGTGGGTTGGATCCAGTCCGGGAAAGGAGCTGTGTAGCATGGGAAGATGCTTTGGACGCCCAAATGTGCTGCTGGAACGGTGTTGGGGATGGGGACTGAGCCAGCAGTTGGGGGAGCATGGGGTCTGGGGGAGATGTAAAATATCCTTGCTCCCCTCCAAGCCTGGCTGGGGATGAAATATTTGTCTCTGGGTTGGGGAAAAGGTTGCATTTCACAGGAGGTCAGCCAAGGGGACACACACACGAGTGTTGTCATCCATCCCCATCCCTGTCCCCCCGCCCCAATATCAAAGCAAAGAAACCCCGCTTTGATCTCCCCACCCTGGGCCCCCCCTTCACCCAGCAGTACCTGCCCTGAGCACAGATTCGCTTCACCCATCCTCTTCAAAGGCTGTTAGATCGCACCACTTTGATCCCAGCATCTTCCAGCTCCTTCCCTAGCCTCTGGAATATGCATTACCAATTACTGGCCATGCAGCCTTTGAAGTCCCCGCTCATCCTCCCACCCCATCCCTCGCCTCTCCAGCATCTTCTCAAGCTTCCAGGAGGTGCAGCTTCTCTATAGGAAAGAGCATGGCCAAAATGTAGAGGCTGGAGCCACCAAGCCAGGAACCTCTCTGCTTGATTTGCAACCAATAACCAAAAACGCTGTTTAAAACAATGATGCTCCAGATGTTAAACATCTGCCTCAGCTGGGGAGGTAGACACCCAAATTTCAGGCACCCAGACTTTTACCTGGAAAGCTTCTGGCTGCCAGCACAGTCCTGCTGTGCGGGGACCGCACATGGGGTGAGGGGAGCTCCCAGCACTCCCAGTTAGGCTGAATGGTGGGACCTGGTTTTTGGGGTGGAGGTGAACTGGGTAGCACTGTGGTTCAGCACAGTTCCAGTTCATGCTCCAGGTCATCGCTCTGAGTGAAAGCTGAGCATCCTTGGCCACCCAGCACCTGCTTTCAGGGCACTTGAACACAACAGGATGAGGCTCCTTGGTGGCACCACTCATGAGGTCAAGGGGACTTATTTTTGCTCCCACTGCCGGGTACCCCTGGTTTGACCAAGGATGCTGTGCTGTCGCCAAGAAGGTGGCTCTTTGCAACAAAGTGAAATCTAAAGGCAAGGGAGGATGGGGACATATCATCTCTAGGTCACTCCCATGGCACCTCTAGCACATGCTAGGGTCACCCCACCTTCCTCACCTGCTTGTAGGGGTACTGAACCACCCCAATTCCCAGGTGATGAGAGCATCACTAGAGTCTCATCCCAAACCACCTGATCCCAGGTCTGGTCTGTCCATCAATCCCTCCTCATTGCTCACAGGCTGTCTCCCTCTACCAGCAGTGATGGCTTCAGCCAAAAATCTTTGACAACCTGCCTCAGGAAGGAAAAAAGGGGGGGAGAAAAAAGCCCAAATCCTACTTTACATGTAAATCCTCAGCAGGTACCAAGTGCCACATAGGTATTTAACACCCCCCGTCACTCGTTTAAAATAGGAAACACGACCAAAAATAGCTCCAGAGTGAGCCACCGCTGATGTGACACTAATCCCTGTGTGCCGTGGTGAGGACTGGGAGGGGTACAAGGATCGGGGTAGAGAGGTGCCTCCTGGGTGCCCTCCTGGCACCCACCAAGCCCAAACTGTAGCAGGTGCCTTTGATGAAGAGGAGGAGGAGCAGAGACCCTGGGTGCCAGGGACACAACGCAAAGCCCAGGGAGATGCTCGCCATGAACCCAGTGTTGTAATCACCAAGCCTTTGTGAAAACAGAGGTGATCTCATTTTAGCTGAGGATTTCAGCAGAATCATTTACTGCCTTATTAAATAATAATAATAGCTGGGTGTTTCCCAGAGACAGCTCTTTTCCTGCCCTTTTTCCTAATTCTTTCTTGTCACCAAGAAAGAATAGATCACATCATCTTTTTTTCTTTCTTTTTTCCTCAAGTTTCACCCTTTCTACCCACAGAAAAGAGGGGGGGAAAAAAAGGAGAGGGTGTGGTGTGTGAGAGAAATCTGGTAGTGTATTGGGAACAGAAGCAACTGCCTGCAAGCAAGACCAGGGATGAGCTTCAACTTACTTCCAAGAGGTCCATCGGGGAGAGAAACCACCCATGGGGCCAGCACATGGGGCTGGGGTCAGGTCCTCATACAGTACAACTTAGGAGAGGACTTTCAGCCCAGGGCTGAGCTTATATGGGCTCCTGGTCCATGGGCTGGGTGGGGCGGGGGTCCTAGGTGAGGCTGTTAAGGTGTATTAGTGCCCGTCCCCATATCCTCAGGTCTGGTGGTGGGACCACTCCTCTCATTTCCATCCCAAGCCTTTTTCTTTGGGAAGAAGGTGTTTTTTGGCATCTTTTATTGCCAACATGTCCAACACGCTCCCTAGCGGCTATCTCCAGCCCTTCAACCTGTGTTTTCCTGGAGACACCAGCTGGTCCCGTATCAGAAAGGGTCTCCCTGTTCCCAGTAGCTCCCCAGTTTCTCTGCTCCATGTTTCTACCAGTCAGCAAGCACACATCCAGCCCCAGCACCCTCACTGTATCAAAACTCTGTGACCCCTGGGGTTGTGCCCCCATGGAGGTGATGTTATTTTGTCCTCCGGGTGTGCTCATTCAGTTTGTCCACAGGTTGTCATGCAGGGTTTAGTGGCCCGAGAAATGGTCCTTGCTGCAGCCAGAGCCTGGAGATGTCCCACAGGGGCCTGCAGCTGATTTAAAAGAGAGGGAGCTGCCTGCCCACGGCTGGATCCCCCCAAGTGAGCAACTGGGGGGTTGGGGTCTCCCACCCTTGGTGCCATCTCCTTAGGAGCTTGGCAGAGCAGGGGCAGGGTTGTCATACAAGTGAAATTTGGAGCTCAAATATGTGAATTTTATTAAAATTAGGTCAGCAGAGTGTAACAGAGCCACTTCAGCTGCTGACAGCGTAATCATTCCTCCGGGCTCCTGGTTTCCCATGCCCAGACATATTAAATTACCCTTAACTCTACCCATGCTGCTTCATCCACCACGAAGGCTTTGCAAGGAGCCTGCCCTGCTAATGTTTTATGGTGTATTTCTAGTGATTTATGATGTTGACCCAAATCTCTGCATGCTGGCATCTAGCAAAGGGATGTAGGGACCAAGGTCAACCTGGCACCGTGACAGTAGCTTTGGGGTGCCCAGCCTTGGCCGCCCAACTCAAGGATGGGATGGGATGTCTGAGCCCAAGGATTCAGTCTCCCCCAACAAAAACACTCAAAAAGATGGAGTTATGGAATAACGACATCATAAAATACCAGAGAGATGTGCCATGATTAATTATTCTTGGTGTATGAGGAGGTTCAACACGCCTTGATGAACCACGGGACTGGTGGAGATATGGCAGGGTTCTTCAGTGGCATGAGGAGAAGGAAACAAAATATGTCTGCCAAGATATTGACCATTGATTTCTCTTACCTCTATTATTTTGGGAAATTTGTGACTGAATTCCACCATGAAAGGACATGTGGAAGGAAAAAGATGGGGAGAGAAAGGCAAAAATTATAAATAACCAAAAAAAAAATTGTGCCTGGAGAAACCACCTGAAAAAAGCTAAGCACAGGGGTGTGTTTCACTCCCAAATTCTCTGTGTGCAGGATGGGAGAGCAGGGAGCAGTGGGAGGGACACAGCCTCGGAGTGCTGGGGAGGCCCTGATGCCTGTGGATGCCCATGCTGGGGAGGGAGGCAGCACAAAAAGCATCAACTGGGTGCACAAACATGTATGAGGGGTATTGGGGGGTTCCTCTTAGCCCCCTACTCCACTTGTCTACCACTGCCCACCTCCTGCTTGGCAGCACTGGGACAGGCCAGGCCCTCTGCCAGCTCCCTTGGAGAGAGAGGGGAGGCGAGCCAGTAAGTCTGCCAAAAATATGCACTTCAAACTGCTGCTGAGTTGAATTTTCACACTGTGCTCTGCCTCCCACACAAAATAAAGCCACACACACCCCCGCACACATATATACACGCAGCCAAGAAAACACCACGTTGCTCCTGGATCCACAGCAATGGCTCCAGACAGATGCCACGGCAGCGGGTGCTTGGGTGGGACTGGGGAGCCCGGGGCAGGATTAGTGCTGTGTTCGGTGCTGGGCAGCCCTTGAGTTGGATGGGATTAAAGACTTGAAGGTGGGCAATGAGCCTCTTGCATCTGAAACCTCAGCAAGGTCGTTAGATGGAGACCATGGTCCGTAGGAGCCATAGGAGGAAGGAGGTCTTTCCTCCCCTCCTTTCCCTTCCAGCCCTGGCTGTGGCTTGAACCTCAGCTATGACATTACATCTATTATTTTTTATTTTTTAAGGGCTTGTTTTATTCGTGCCCCATGTGAGGTCTGTACCCTGTGACATGGTGAGGCCATGACCCCATCCCCCAGCTACCACAGGTCTTGATACGCTCAACACCTTGCAAGAGATGGAGGACTGGGGACCAAGCCCATCAGCATCCCAGCCAGGGCGGCGGGTGACAGTGCTGTCCCCACAGCTCCCAACCTTCCCGTGCTGCTCTGCATTTGGTTACACAGCCTTGGAACATTTTCCATTCCCTTCCTCAGTTTCCCCACCCACAGAGCTGCCTTTTCCAGGGGGAGAAGGTGGCAGCCACTGGTGGCTCCTCAAGGATGGGACCAAGGGACACCAAGCGTGCAGGGATTCGGGGTGGCACTCAGGTCCTGGGAGACAAAGCCAACCCCAGGGCCACCTTGGGAAGGGCCCATCCTGCCTCACCGAGCACCCAGGAGCACCCAAGGCTTCACCACCTACTGGGGGCCCATAGGTGCTTTGCCAGCGAGTGGGCTTTGGTCCTTGCTGAAGGGCTTCTGGATCCACTCCACCTGGGCTAAGACCTCCCAACTCACCACACTGGTGATGCCGGGGGAAATGGCAAAGATTTAGGGATGTGGTGTTATTATGGAGCAAAATTGGGAGGGTTCTGTCCGGCAGCTACTCTCTGCCCATCTGTCCGTCTGTCTTTCCACAGGTAGTGAGCCAGATCGACCGGCTGACGTCCGACTTTGAGTTTGAGCTGGAGCCGGATGACCGGGACACCAGAACCAGCCAGCAGCACCTCCAGCAGTGAGAAGGGGGGAGGCGCCTTCGAGCTGGGACCCCTCGATTTCGCCGCCTCCGACATCCTTTCTGACAGCTGGGAATTCTGCTCCTTCCTGGATGCTTCCACCCCCTCTGACCCAGGCGATGGTCCCGAGCCCCCCCGGCCGCAGCCCCCACCACCTCGCCAGCCCGATTACCGGCTAATGAACGGGGGGATCCCTATCACCAACGGTCCCCGGGGCGGTGGGACCCCAGACTCATCCAG